TGCCCTTGGATTGAGTAGAGCAGGGCTTTTCAACCAGTGGTACGGGTACCACCTGTGGTACATTGGCACCTGGCAGGTGGTACGCAACCATCCTAGAAAAGTGGTAGTGGGGGAAGGGGATGAGCTGAACCGGTGGCAGCACCGCACAAGCCTGAGCGAGAGATGGCTGGAGCTGCAGGGCTGTCAGGGCTCAACGGAAGCACCAGGATCAGTGCCAGGCTCCAGCTGGAGCTCGGGGCTGATCCTGGTGCTTCTGCTGAGCCCTGAAGAAGCACCAATCAGCTGGAAAGCAGCACTGATCCTGGCGCTTCTGCTGAGCCCAGAAGAAGCGTCGATCAGCTGGAATGTTGCAGCATCTCCAGAGTCTTGTGATTTACATTCAGATGCTTGGCAACTGATTCATATTTATGACGGTCACAGTGTCCGAGGGTCATGTAAAGTGACCAAAACCTGCTGCAACCACCCAGAAGATGGGGGGAATAAAGACCAAACACACCCCCCACTCCACCCCCGCTGCCAATCCTCAACAGAAATGCTCACAACAATGAAAACCTCGGACAGGAGGAAGAGCACGGTCAGGCGGGCAGGCAGGTGTCTTGCTTGGCTGTGGCTTGGGGGGGCACTTTTTTCAGTGCCTGTTAGAGAATTTTAATTTCTCTGTTGGTAAAAATAAATCAGAAGCTCTCACAGTTGACTGCATTTAGCTGATTCAAATAAACTCTTTATATTCATAGCAAAATATTTACAATACCATACATTCTTCTTTACAGCAACATAGCATAATGAAGACTTCTTACAGCAGAGACAGACCTGAGACTGAACCTGAAACCCAGCTTCTAACTCAATAACCTTTTTGCACAGACTCAGTAGCACTTTCTTCACATTGGCTGACTGAGTTACCACATGACTCTTCCTGCTCATGAATATTCCAACAGTGCCATTGTAACTTCGAACAGTCACTAAGCGAACTGTTGTAAGTCGAGGACTATCTGTACTTTATCACTTTTTTCCTTTTTGGGGGGGGCATCACATTTTTGACACCTAGCTAGGCGACTGGTGGTACTCGGATGTTGCCGTATCTTAAAAGTGGTACAATGGGTGAAAAGGTTGAAAAGCCCTGGAGTAGAGGAGGCAGCTATTCCTCATCTACTGCCTATCAGCGTCACTGCTTGTTAGCAGCCAATCCTCCCCTGTGTCTGTGCAGGCAGGCAGCTTTCTGTCTGGTCAAGCACCTCCCCCAGTGTATGAGGGGCCTGTCCTCAGCCCCTGGCCTCTCCAAACATGCCAAGGGAGACATACCATTCCTATCAGACGGTCACAGTTGCAACTCCTCCTCTTCTGAACGGGTTCTGATGGGACCATGACAGTTTTTGAATCTCTCAGTCTAGCACAGTGGTGGCAAACCTATGGCACGGGTGCCAGAGGCGGCACTCAGAGCCCTCTCTGTGGGCACGCACGCCGTTGCCCCAGTCCTAGGCCTTCAGCTGTGTTTTATAAAACCTTTTCGCTTTAGGCCTCCGCCGCCGTGTGCAAAAAAAAAAAA